GGAGAGTGATCTGAATCCCCCATGATGGGGGCCGAGGGTGGCTGCAGGGAGTCCCTGGACTGGGAAGTCAAGACAGGACCTGGGCAGGTTTCAGGTCTGGGTGTGGCCCACACATCTGGGAGGGTGAGCTGTAGCCTGGCTACCTGCCATTCCGTGGTGGGCCCACACACCAATAAGGGCCATGGTGTGATCCTGGCCACTTGGATCTAATGAAGTCAGGGAGAGTTGAACCAAGTGAAAGAAAAGCAGTTAGAATAAATGAATAATTCTGCTTTTTTAAAAACTGTGCTAGCCTTTTACCACATAATAAAGAGAGGGAGGAGGGAGACAGTATTGGGAGAACCAGAAAGCTGCATATCAGACAAGAATATAATCCCCTTTCTCTGATACCTTCTCTTAGAGGAAATTTTACATTTTCTTTCTTTCTTTCTTTCTTTCTTTCTTTCTTTCTTTCTTTCTTTCTTTCTTTCTTTCTTTCTTTCCTTCATTTCTTTATTTCTTTCTTCTTTCTTTTTTTTCGTCTTTTTTGAGACAGGGTCTCCCTGTAGTTCCAGCTGGCCTGGAACTCAATATGTAGACCAGACTAGCCTGGAACTCACAGAGATCCACCTGCCTTTGCCTCCTGAGTGCTGGGATTAAAGGCATGCACCACCACGCCCGGCCATTTCTGCTGTTTTCAAGTGCACAGCTCATTGGCATTAAGTGCACTCACATTGCTGTGCAGCCATCACTACCATCTGCCTTCAGAACTTTTTCCTGGTCCTTAAATGAAACTGCACCCGTCCAACAGTAACACCTTCCCCCGGTGTCCTCCCTCCAGCCATTGCTGTACTATTTTACTGTCCCTCTGAATTTGATGGTTTAGGAGCCTCCCGTAAGTGGGGTCTTTTGTCACTTGCTTACTTCACTCAGCATCCTGTCTCAGGACTCATCTTTTCTGTAATTACATCAGTGAATGTAATTCACTCCTTTTAAACAGCTCTGAGTTTGACTTGCTTCACTAGGTCCTACACAACCTTGGAAACAAGCGTTTCATCTATTTGTCTTTGTCTGGAAATGAAGTGGGAGACAGGAGTAGGATCTGGGAAGAGGGTGGGGGCTATGGCCTGTGCTCCAGCTCCTGCCTCCAGGTTCCTGCCCTGAGTTCCTACCTTGGACTCCCTGATGAACTGTGACCTGGGAGATGTAAGACAAATAAACCCTTTCCTCCACAAGTTAGTATTGGTCAGAGTGTTTTGTCTCAGCAGTGGAGAAACAAACTAGGACACAGGTCTTGCTGCATCTTTTGTGGAACTCAAGGGATACTGACCAAGTTTAGCCAGTCAGCTTTAGGACAGTTTTATCTTCCACCTCTCATCTGACCTATGTGGAAGAGGGCTTGGCCTTAATTCCTGTTTGCATTTTCAATAACCAGCTAATTTATTTGAATGCAGGGTGAAGCCCCAGAATCCAATAGTTTAGGCTCCAGGAAGTTAAGGATATTAGCACTCTAAGAATAAAAGACTGCTAGGTGCAGTGGTGCACGCCTTTAACCTAGGAGAGGCAGAGACCAGGCTGGTCTACATAGTGAGTTCCAGGCCATCTGGGGATACAGGGAGACCTTGTCTCAAAAAAAGAAAAAATAAAGGATTACGAATAAAGCACTGCACTCAGTAATACAGAGCTCATCAAGAGTCTAGGGGTGTCTTGTTTCACTTCTCAGCTTTGGTTTTTTTGTTCTTTGTTCTTTTGTTTTTTGTCCTTACAGAACTTGTAAAATATCTCTGTAAACACAGTCACTCAGAAACTGTAGCAAATGAAAAACATGTCACTTTTGTTTCCTTACCCTAGGTTGTTGTTAGGCCATCAAAGCTCATCAAGAGTCTAGGGGTGTCTTGTTTCACTTCTCAGCTTTGGTTTTGGTTTTTTTTGTTCTTTTGTTTTTTGTCCTTACAGAACTTGTAAAATATCTCTGTAAACACAGTCACTCAGAAACTGTAGCAAATGAAAAACATGTCACTTTTGTTTCCTTACCCTAGGTTGTTGTTGTAGCCCAGGCCATCAAAAAAAAAAAATCAGAAAGTGGTGGGAGATTCCCTGAAAAAGATTAAAAGGCACTAAAATTTAGTGTGACATGATGCCAACTTAGATGCGTTCTCGTTATAATACATCAACCTCTTGAGTTAAACATTGCCGAAATGATTGACGAAGAAAAGTGTGATGGGTAGAATATTTGGCTAACTCATGTTGATTTGACTCCAGAGGGCCTGAGTGTCAGAGGAACCATGCTACCAGCCCTCCCTGAGCTAAGTGCACACCAGGGCCACACAGAAAGCTACTCCTGGTATTTAACCATCTCATCTACTGTCAGTGCTGCTATACAGAGGTTCACCCATGAGAAGAAACAATATTGCTCCCAGTTCAGCACTCTGCATTAGCTGGAAACCGGGGGCTTCATCCTGGTAAAGTGAATTTCCTAGTTATATAACTTTGAACACTGACTGCAGGGTGCCAAGGTGTGAATCAGAGTGACCAATATTAATTTAGCTTCAGAAAA